AAGCCAACGCTTGGCAGAGCTACTAGAGCCCTACCCAGAACACAAATGCATCTCAACAGAAGAAAACCTAACTCATGAGTAGTCCTCTTTAGTAAGTGAACCTGGCCACCATCCAATCATGGATCTTAGGGTACCTGATTTCTGGTGGGGTGGGGGGAATAGATGGTGGCCCAGCATTCTCTTCCATCTCTCCAGGAGGCATTTCCAAGGCATTCCCCCAAGAGTCCTAACTGCTTCTTGTACTGCCAGGGTCTTCTGGCAACCTCTGATGATGGCGGCATGAAACCTGGGACCATGATTGGTGAAGTCTCAGAGGAGGTCTTGGAGGATTGAGTAGCAAGGGGAAAGCAAAGAAGAGCTGGGAGGGGAAGTTGGGAATGCATGGCACAGCATCCTCATGGCAAAGAATATTTTGTTCAACACACCTTCAAATTCAAATCTTGACAAATGGGTTAACTGTATATTAACAGGAGGCTAAAATAACTAGCTAGAACATGTACACACTGAATGTTAAAAAGCATGTGTCTCCATCATGAGCTTAAATGATGAAGGGGTTGGAGCAACTCCCCTATAAGGAAGTTAAACAACTTGGACTTACAAAAAGGTTGAGTAAGGGAAAACATGATAGAAGCATTCAAAATTAAGTGTGGGGTGGAGAAAGTGGACAGGGAGACATTTTTCTTCTTCTCTCATAATACTAGAACCTGGGATCACCCCAGGTGACTGGAGGAAGAGTCAGGACAGATAGAAGGCTGTGTTTATTTACACAGCACAGTTAAATAATGTAATTCCCTGTCACAGGAAGTAGTGTTGGCCATCACTTTGGATGGTTTTAAAAGGGAGCTCGATGAATTCATGGAGAATGAGGCAACCAGTGGCTACTAGTCTCACAGAGTTTGTGCTACCTCCTTCACCAGAGGCGGCATGTCTGCATACACCAGTTGCTTGGGCAGGCAGAGCTCTTGCACCCATCCTGCTTGAGGAATCCTGGGCAGCTGGTTTGCCACCATGGGAATGGAGTGCTTGCATGGACGGAGCATGGGTCGAACCCAGCAGGGCTTTTCTTATGTTCTTAGAAGAATGAAGGAATACGGGTGAGTGAGACAGCAGCTCTGCAAAGAGGCTCTTTGCCTTCATAAGTCTTAAACCTATTTTTGAAAGAAGCGACATGAAGGAGAATAATCAACCTCAACCAAGCAATATATTTAATACAAGTAATCTATGAACTTGGTGGGTGTTTTAATTTCCCCCAAAGCTGAATAAAAGGGGAAATGGCAATTAACTTTGTCTCATACCCTGGTATAAACCTTTCCAAAATATTTAATTAAAAGCCAACTGTTCCTGACAGGAAAAGAAAAACTACCACCTCTGCCATTTCCTTTAATATAGTTTAACATCTCCCAAAGTCTTCATAAAAGAAGAAAGCATTGACCTTGGCTAATGTATTAATCAAATCATTGTCAGCAAATCCATGGTGTGTAATAGTCATCTGTTAACCATGGGTTTCATCCACCTAATTCCAGCATCATTGTCAGGACTGGCAGCCTGGAGGTCAGCCATCATTTGGGCTTGGAAGCAGAGAAACGCTGCTTAAGTCCATGTAGCCCAGTAGCACTGATGCTGAGCAGAAGTGGCTGTCTGGGGTTTCAGGAAGGTGTTTCCCTGCTCTACTTGAAGATGCTGGAGATTAAACCTGGGAGACACAATCCACTATTCACAACTCAACCACAACCCATGAGCTCTTTGTAAGAGGTTTGTGGTTAACAAACCACGGTTTGTTAGCATAGTTGGGTTCAGCCAACAGCAACAGACATCATTCAATAAAAACACATTCTCATCCTGTAATGTTGCTTGTCATGCAGTGTGAATCTAGTAAAAAAAGTTTTCAAAAAGACAACTATGAGATTACAAAAGGAAATATTGTAATATTGCGCTTTCAGACCCTCAACGGTCACATCATGAGGTCACCGACATCCTTTTCACAACCTCAATCCTTTTCAGAACCTATTGGTTCTCAATTGGCCTGTATCAGACCTGTTTGTTCATTAAGACACTCAACTTCATGTTTCTCAAGAAAAGCTGTCAACCCACAGATTTAATACTAGCAAGTAGCAAAACTCGACAGTCGTATTCTAAACAATAGGAAATGAAGAAGGATGAAATAAGGACTTTATAGACAGGGCAACAGAGCAGTAGCAAGACTGCTAAATAAAACAGCTCCAAACCCAAGGCTAAATGATGAAGGTAGCAATACCAAGAATTAGCACCAAGGTCAGCTGACAATCACTGAAGGTTTGAACGACAAAACTAAAAGGCTATTAGCCAAGTAACTGGGTAGGAGATGAGAGAGAGAGCAAGATGGTTCAAATTACAGATGCTGCAGAAAAAGATGATGGGAATTAGCACACCCATCAAAGCTGCAGCTAAAAAAGAGTTAGGGTGCAAGCTTGTGCATATTTAGACAGAAAAATACAGCTCCCAACATTACCCACGTAGCCAGCCATGTGGCTCAGGAATGCTAGGAGCTGTAGAAGATTTTTTTCTCTGTCTAAGTATGCAGAGGAGTCTAAATATGCATTCCTCAGCTGCTAGATCACAAGGCAGCAGGATAAAGCAATGTGGGGAGTTACAAATGTCCAGGAAGCAGGCAGGCTGACCATTTCAATTGACCCTATTTCATTATTTATACATTGTTTTATCTGACTCAAGTTTCACCCGAAGCAGTATTCAGTGGACTACCTGACAAAAAAGGATCTTTATAAGGCCCTTATGCACGTTATCCTCACCTCTACAAATTCATGGGCCACAACATGTCCCTGCTGTGCTACCCCAAAAGTCCCAGGGTGAAGCAAAGCACCATTCATGTAAAAATGAATGCATCAACTTTGCAGACAAAGTTGCAGTGCAGGATTAGCATTGCCTGTATGGAATCACTGGCACCACAGGCAGAATTCAGTTTTGCTCCTGGGAAGCTTTGTCAAGGTCATCTATCACTCAGAATACACTCATGACTTTACAAGAGAAAGATGGGTGGGTATGAATTCAGGTGTCCTTCCTTTTAATGCATGTATTGATTGATGTCTTCTGACATAGCAAGTGTGGAGGCATCATGAGAAAGCAGTTGAAAGACTGTATGGCCCTGGATCCAGGGGCTAAGTGTCGCGGTCACATCAGGTTCTGTTTCTATGGCTATGGTGTAGCTGATTCTGTGGCTGGTGTAAAGATGTCAGTGAACAACAGCATCATGGGACCATGGAGCAAGAAGAAACAAAAACTGCCTCAGGATGGCAACACAGAACAAAAGCAAGCCCCCGTTTAGAACAGATGGAAAGGCTCTCCTGTTAGGCAATGTTACTCCACTACCCTAAGGTCAAATAGTACACCAGGAACAGAAAAAGTAAAAGAAGACAATTCTAACATTTCAAGTAACTTAGAGTCGTCTTAACACAACAAACCCATATGCATAAAAGGGCATTCCATCACCTTTACACACACACACACACACACACACACACACACATCATGGGGAAAATCCCACCAAATTGCTGACTCCAAACATTTAAGGAAGAATAAAGTGATCGATCATGATAAAGCAGACTTCCTCAATTGGGTGCTATCCAGATGCTTGGAATGTCAAATCCCACCAACCCCAGCCCCCACAGCCAATGGTCAAGAATCATGGAAGCAGCACTCCAAAGCATCTGCAGTGCACTGGCTTAGGACAGGCAGTGATGAAGGATTCAACAGGTACAAATATCAATTCAGCTATTTCATCATTTACCCTATCCCTAGCCTGGGAGCCTGGACTGAAGCCTTACACATAACGTAGTAAAGTTATGACAGCTGACACTGTTATTTCTAAGCCCCACACAAGAGTTTAAATCAGCACTTGTCTCAGCAAATGGCAAAGAAATGGGACTTCAGTCCTTTCCAAATCAGCACATATTCCATTCTCAACTGATTCACAATGTGTGCATTTTGCTTCTGTACCCAAACACAAGTAGCATTGTAAGATGCCGCCCTCAAAACACTGATGTTATGTAACTATCTTTGTCAGGACAATGAAAACCAACTCATTAGTGGGCTCCTTATGAGAACACAGCTATTATGTTAACTACTAGGACAGGGTGGGTAGGGGTGGGTTGAAAACAAAACAGGGCCTTCCAGTGCAGTAGAACTGAAGGGACTAAACTGAAGCCACTTCCACTCCATTGCTGTCAAAGAGGCTAATGCATGAAAATATAAAATGTTTATGTAAGATTTAGTGCTATTAACAGGGCTAATTAATATGCAAATACCCCACAATGCTGCTCCTAAAAGTTTGTGATTAACATGGTATAAGTGGATGACAGTGCAATCTATTAGCAACAGGGCACAATCGCATGTTCAGCCCTACAAGTCCTACATGCTGGCTGGGCAACACTGGGGTTAGAATCATAGAGCGGTACTATTAGAAGGGGTCCAAGCCCCTGCTCAACACAGGACTCGCAGTTAAACCATCCCTCTCAGGTGACTGTCCAGCTGACATCCTGAACACCTCTCATGTGGGAGATCCCATAACCTCCCTAGGTCACTGGTTACATTCCTGCACCACTCTAACAATCAGGACAGTTTTCCTGCTATCTAGCTGGAAACTGGCTTCCTGTAACCTGAGCCCATTATTCTGTGTCCTGAACTCTTAATAGGGCTTCTAGCTTGTACTTGCTGCATGCCTGGGCCATGTTGCCCTCAGGCAAGAGAAGAAACATTGCAGACATTGCAGGTCACCACCACTAAGAAGCCACTCAGTCCTTTCTAGGGCTCTTGCTGTGTAAACACGTACAGGATTGCACGCTTAAAATTTGCTGGCTTCAAGCAATTGATGACACAACTTCAGAGAATATCTAGCTTCTTACTGCAGCATCAACCCTTTGTTAGAAGAAAACTGTTCAACTAATCATGGTCTTATAAAACGCTTAAGCAGCCAAGCAATGACCCACAGACTCTGAGCATCACCTTACCAGAATTTCGAAAGTTTCCTGTGTATCATCCAGCATCTGAACTTTGATAGAAATAAGTTTTCCTGTAGGCGTTGTGGGCAACTTCTGCCCATGTTCCAAAGTGCTGATCCCAGCATTCTCCTGAACTCCTAAGCGGGATCCTGCTGTTGACCTCTGCTCCACTTCACCCATGTTTGCAGAAACAAGTTTCTATTTCTGGCAGAAAGAAAGGGATAAAAAAGGAAACCATATTATTTAAAGTATTCAAAGACAACAAGGCACACAGGAATTTACTGATCTACATCTCATTGTATGCAGCTTTTTAAAGTATTAATTTTCCTCTAAAGCAGAGATGGGTATTGTGTGGTCCTTCAAATACTGCTAGACTACAATTCCGACGATCTTCATTCATTGGCCATGCAAAGTGGTACTGACGGAAGTTGGAGTCCTTCATCTAAAAGAACATCTCCATCCATTAAGCCTACCCTAAAATCTTCATCAGAGGTCCTGCTTCAGGAGCCACCTTTAAAGGATGCTAAGAAGGCGGCTACCCGGTGTAGGGCCCTTTCAGTTGTGGCGCCCCATTTGGGGAATTGCCTCCCCAGAGATGTACACCAGGCATCTTCTTTGTAGTCATTTTGGCACCAGGCAAATACTTTTTTTTAATTTTTGGAGTATTTTAACTGCTGGCAGTTTTAATTCATTTTTTATTTATAATGTTAGGTTGGTTTTAATTAATGAATTTTAAATTTTAAATTGTTGCTTAAATATAAGATTTGTCCAATCTGGCCATTGTATGAGGTCAACATGGCTGGTGCTCCTGCTGATGGAATAGATGTTTTATTTACTGGAATTGACAATTTTATCTTTTATGTTTTGTTTGACTGTCTTTTAATTGCTGTAAACCATCCAGAAAGCCATTTGTCTATTGTGACATTTATAAAATCTTGAAATAAATAAAACACCTGGAGGAACAAGGTTCCTCTCCCTTTATATATGGGATCTGCATAATGTTTGACCACAATAAATTTTTGCATTTTCCATAATGTGACTTATATGGTATTTTTTCTGTGTTTCTCAACCTCCTACATGATTACTCAAATCTAAATCTTAGTCTCTTCAGTGGAGCTTGTTCTTCTAGTAAGTTGGTATGAAATTACAGACTTATCTTTTATTTTTTTAAACAGCATTAGCTAACCTGATTCGCAAGTAATATCAATTCCTCAGTTAAACAAGCCAGGAATTGGTGTGACCATGTGAGACTGAGTCAGTTGCCTTCCACCCACTCATCACTTCCACTTTGAATAAGCTTTCCAAAAGAACTCAGGAACATTGTGCTCCTGTTCCACAGTTGTGATGGGCAATCCTGACATTCTGCCTTTTTATTTAGAATTAAACAATTCAGAATTTTAACCTAAAAGCAATCCATAGCTTTAAATTCTACATTGTTTAACTTCAGGGTGGATTTTATTTAAGTCAAACTGATTTAAATCATGAGTTAAATTACAAGTCAGTAAGACTAGATTTAAATCATGGTTTTCTATATAATTTGTGCGTATGCCAGCCTTACCCAGAGGTAGAGGAACTTCTTTAAAACATTACCAAAGTGGGTCTCTTTTATGGAGGTTTTCTCCTCCAGAGGAAGGATAATATGATAAATCTCAGGCTGCAGACAGAAAGATCCACAGACTTGTGGAATATTCTGCTCAAAAAGTTTCACTTTTATTTTTACTGCTTCCCCCCTTACCACACACACACACACACACACACACACACACTTAGTTTCTTGGGCAAATGTTTTCCACTCCCAATAATCACCTTCTATTCATTGATTTTTTTTGTAACTTAGCACTTAGGAGATAAGCAGTTGATTCTGGGTACACAGATTTGCAAAGGAAATATGGGAATAAGGCCTTTTTCTCAACTCTGTATGTTTATTTTATAACATTTTGCTGTGAAGAAGGGGCATGTAATCTCTGCAAACACAAACTCATAGTTTTGAGTACTCCGAAACCAAGCATCTATGATAATATTTTCTAGATGGAAAAAAATCCCCAATAATTTTACAGAAACCTCTGGAAGAGCATGACATTGTGAATGGATTAATGGAATTCATTTACCAAAAGCATGAAACATTGCATGTAGCCTCATGCTACATAATTAGAAACCTTATAATTAGAATCCTTATTTCATGATGAATAACCTTTGGACTGTATCAGAAAATTATCTTTAGAAAGGTTTTTCTGGAAAAAAATATTTTATTTTTTAAACAATCTATTTAAATTTTTAAAAATCCCAGAAGTAAAACCCAGAGTGCCAGGTTCATACATTACAAGATCCCAGGAATGAGGTTCCAGAGCATCCACAAACAGCCATGGTTAACATAGGCAAAAATTAGCTGATACAGCAAGTGAAATTAATTTTAGTGAAATTAACAGGAACAGCCACTTTCATCTCACATCTCAAACTGTTTAACTAACTTCCCTACTCTCCAAAAGCAAGAAGGACCAATAATGTGTATTAGATATAGTCATACTGTGCCTCAAGAGATTAAGGCAAAATAAAAAATCAGACTAAGCTAAAGGCTCCCCACTTGAAAAGGAACTTCACTTCAAATTCTGCTTGACCAAATCCACTTAGAAATCCATAAATTTATCCCCACATATACACACAAAAGTAAATATCCTGAAGAGCAACTATTGTGTAAAATGCTAATTATCTTCACTAGTAAGAACTCTTACAGCAATAGCTCATCAACAACCCAAAAGCACCGACCCAAAAGCAAGGTGGCTGGATACAGCAGGACCCAAACATTGACACCATAGAATTAGCTCAGCAAAACTGAAATAGCCAAATGAATGACGAGGCAACCGGGCATTCCATGCAGACTTATGGCACAACAAAACATACCAAAATATACAAGCGCTGTTTCCCTGTTTGCCTCCTTGCTTCAATACTACAAAATTGATTGCATTCTACTTAAACGTTGACTTGAAGCCAGCAAGCTAATCCAAAAACTTAACCTGAAAGGAATGGCATGCAACTTGAATGCCCAAGTGTTCAGAAATCTTACAGTTCTTTTTTCCTCTCTGGAAAGAACAATTGTTGAGGTGATGCAACAGAACATGACTTCATTCATTGTCTTGCTTCATCATGTAATACAAAATGCAGAGGTCATTAGCACTTGGTCAACCCATGCACATTACTGTGATCATTTACTTCACTCTTTTCTCTTTGTTCAACTAACAGGATAACTGAATTTCCTATTCTGAATAAGCTTCTTCCTACATTTGACCAGCTGGGCAATTTCCATCTCTCATGCCTTTTACGCCCTGATCAATTATCATTAACAAGCACATAACAAACAGGAGGAACAGGAATGCAACTTTCTGGCTGAACAAGCATACAGTAATAACAGATACAGCCATTTGATGCATTTCACCCCACAGTTAAGGTCACTGGTGATCTTAAGTGGGAAACAGCAAACAGAAAAATTCTGTTTCTAGAATTGCATGTAATCAGTTACAGTGGTACCTTGGCTCATGAACTTAATCTGTTCCAGGACTCTGGTCGTGACCCAAATTGGTCGTGGCACAAGTCAAAGTCCCCCATATGTTCTATCATAAAAATCTGAAACAAAGTAACAAAGAACAACAAAGTAATATAGTAGAGAACACTAACTTAGATGGGGGGAGGTTATTGTTTGGAGGGAGAGTCCAAACCATAATCATGTGATAGCGATCGTGCTGGGGGAGGGGACGGGCGCGATCGTGGTCATCACCCAATGCAGAGTTTGTGAACTGAGGCAATTTTTCTCTGAAATTTCTGCTCGCGACCCGATTTGGTCATGAACTGAGGTGTTTGTGAGTCGAGGTACCACTGTGTTTCATAATAGTTTAAAAAGTAATGATGCTAAAAAAACAAAAGGGGCGAGGAAGCCATACTGACCCAAGGTACAGGTTCCACAACTAGATTATAAATACTGTCTGGGCTGATCTTGGAATTCAAGGAGGACATAAAGACTGCAAGTTGCCTAGTGCTTTATAAGCTGCTGCGCAGTGTTATATAAAGGGGGTCCAAATACCCCTGATGCTCCTGGGAAGCAAAGCAAGGATTCCTTGCTGAGAAAATAACAGTGAACATCAATTCATGTGAGGTGAAAAACTCTGTGGCAATAGCACACAACCGCCAATGTACTCTCAAGGGATCAACAGCCACCAACGCACACCGGCAAATGTGTTCGCTCCCTCCTCCCTCCAGGAGATTCCTTGTCCTTCTCTGGGCTCAGAAGAAGAGCAAATGACCCCTAGCACCTTACTCTGAGCTTCAGTGTGCTGCCTTCTGAAGTTGCCATAGGGTTCCTCCTGCTCTTCCTCTGCCTATCTGGAGCCTACTGCAACAGAGACAAACTTTCCCACTCACTGGAAATGGTGGAAGAGGGCCTGAAATATCCCCACAGTTGCATTCAATGTGGCATCAAAATCACAACCCTCCTCTTCAGGGAAGCAGCAGGGTTTCACTGGCTACCAAAGCCAGTCAAAGTTTGTGGATTCTGCCCTAGCCATCCCTTGAACTGACCTTAGACATCAGGTACAGCCAAAGCTGGATATCTGATGTTGCTCACCACATGGTGGGGAATCTGTAGCAGGGCTATTATTGAAAGTTAAAGCTGCGCCTAATATGCAAAAAAATAAACAACTCCCCTAAACATTTTTGTTTCATAATACAAAATGTCTCTAAATGCTTTCAGCTTTTATATCAATACAGACAAGTACATTATTAATTTGCAAGAAACTTAAGACTGCACCCTGGTTGTTATTGTTTTTTTTGCTGGGCACATTAAAAAAAGAAAGATTTTTTTTAATCCATATGAGAGGAAATAAATTTCTCTCCAGGTATGTAATGAAGTTGAAAATGTCCAGGGCTACACAATGTATTCTTGCTTGTTTCACTGAAGGTGAGAATAAGGTTATCAGTGAAAAAGTAGCACTTTCCTCAAGCCTAGCACTATATAATCCTGAAAAACTTTCCTCCAGAAATTCCCAGTCTAAAAACCTAATGGGGTATCTTCTCCTCCTTAGTCTGGCCATTGGGGGAAGACAAGAAAGTGAGAAACTCGTACAACCCCTCCCCAGGAATGACTGCAGTATGAGATGCCAACAGTTATTGATCTCTCCTGATTCCAATCTATGGAATGCGCTCCCCAGAGAGGTCCG